ATGACTAATTGACTATAAGACTACAAACATCACCTGCGTGATACTAAAATACAAACACATTTACATTGATTGATACCTAGTATAGATAAATAACCCTTTCTATTAATAGAAGAAACCTAGAACTTTCAATTACAACGCGAACATAGATAATCTAACTACTAAAAATGTAACAATAGCTGAAAATGATGACGAGACTACTGAATACAAGACAGATTTATTTATCGGAGTGGAGCAGTATTTTTTCAATCCGAAGTATTTCTATATTCAATAGATATAATAGAGTGTTGTTAGTGACGAACCTCGGGGACTCTGCGCTTCCACTGCGAGGAATCATGGCTGAATAAGTAAAGAGAAGGCTTCGCCTTCAACGTAATGCCTTTACGTAACAAATGTACTCTTTTCACCACAAATATCTTCACATTGTCTACAATTCTACATCGTACGGGCTTTACATCATGCATGGTCTACTTATGATTTTCGTTCAACGTCGGAGTGTACATAGAGGTTTTCTCTCATGGGACTAAAGAGGAAATACAGAACGCTACACGCTACCGTCGTGACATACTTATTTTGTTTCCATCGTGTTCATATTAATCCAACACAAACGTGCTAGTTATGGGTAGATTCTATACTAGCCAGTAAAATTGTGATATATTAGTTATAATAGTTATAGTAGTTGTTAAGCTCAAACATTCTACAAAAACTCCAAGTAGCCCAAAGAGCAGTAGAAAGGAAGCTGGTAGGCGTTACGCTGAGAGACCGCAAAAGAAACCAGTGGCTAAGACAGAAGAGTAAAGTCAAGGACGTCACACAGCATATCGCGAAACTTAAGTGGGAGTGGGCTGGCCACATTGCACGCAAACAGGGTTCGTGGTGCAAAGCCGTGATAGAGTGGAGACCGTGGGGCGAAAAACGCCCACAAGGAAGATCCCAGATGCGTTGGTACGATGACATCAAACGAACAGCTGGCACGAAATGGATAGAAATTGCTCAAGACCGAAAGAGATGGCAGACACTGAAGGAGGCCTACACCCTAAGGGTAGAAAAAGGCTAAAGAAGAAGAAAGAAGAAGCTCAAATACCTAATTATGGGAATAAGTTATGAGGATAGTTAAGATCCTTTGAATATCGAACCGTTACATACTGACTGCACGGTTGGTGCGGTGGCTGGGCAACTGGCTGCCGTGCAACGTGTCGCGGGTTCGATTCCCGCACGAGACAACACTTTGTGTGATCCACAGATTGTTGTTTCGGGTCTGGGTGTCATTGTGTATGTGAACTTGTATGTTTGTAAACGCACCCACGATACAGGAGAAAATCCTAGTGTGGGGCAACGTTTAAAAAAAAAAAAAAAAAACAGACGGTTTTGACATTTATTAGTCGAATAATGTACTCGGTTGTACCAAAACTAACTAAAACTTGTGATGAAGTGGCTGAAAATGGAACACTTGATGAAAATGGAACGGCCTTAACTCCTTAAACTGTCAAACACCAAGCGCCGCGTCAAGTGACCGCAACCTATTGTTCTATAATTGTGTCTATAATGACGGTACTCAACGAGTTAATACCTAGCTGCCCTTCTTCTAGTAGTAGTAGTGACCCGGAGAACTTCATATCGCCTAAAACCTTCTCAATACTTTCACGAACATTTCAAGACCAACATTACCCAAATCGGTTCAGCCTTTCTCGAATTTTAATGAGAGTAACGAACGGAAATTCATTTTTATTTATTTAGAATATACATCATTATTTCTACAAATTACAAAATTCGATAAACAACGCTTGTATTAATCATTTATTGTATCTATTGTATAAGTAAATAAGGTGGAGTTAAACAACAATAAAAGTTATTTACTAATCAGAAACCGCTGAATTGGAAAATTTGATCAAATTAATGGAAACACGAGAGAATTTTCTCTTTCGTCTACTTTCCTTCCGTGTGTACATAATGAAATATGTACCACCATTTGTTTCCCACAAGAGATACGTGGGGGAACTGATGGTGTACATGTAGACAAGATCATGAATTTTCTAACATCAAATCATTTGTATCAGAAAACCAAATTATGTTAACAAATTCGTAGCATTTGTTAAGTGTAAATTACGGTTCATTTATCAATTAAAATGCATTTAAAAAACGATCAGTTCTTCTATTGGTGGGAAATGATCACCATTCGTGGATTAATTAATCTTAATATTCATTGATACACATACAGGTACTTAAGTCGTGAAACAATGAAGGAAGACGCTCATTAAATCAGATATGAAAACGGAGGTATACAAGACAATCAATTGTACCTCTAATATGTATGTGTTTATAATTCTATTTATTTACCAGCAATGTATAAAAATAGTAGTTAATTTAAAACCAACACATAACAAGTAATTTTAGTGCTTAAAATTATAAACTCATTAATCATTAGTATCGCGTAAACAGACAATGTTAGCTAAATGGATAGCATCACTTTTTTAAACAAAACTCCCACAACCCACTTCACTAGGCATCGATGATTATTTTAAAGTAAATTTCATTATCTATGTTGTTATGCTCTTGTAAGTAAACTTGTGATGAAACAAAGGATTTTTAAACTAAACATAACACTCAATGTTAAATTAAAACCAGAATGAAAATTACAGTTTCACTACAGCTCCAAGTTCAGGTATATCTAGACAGAAACCAAAGTTATCTCCTGTGTACTAGATAAACTAAAGCTGAAAGTAGGCAAACTACTTTCGTGAATGTTGTCATAATTAGCATCCTCGAATCTCTAATAGGTAAACAGACCGTACACACAGGTACACGAGTTCTATGAAATCTTTATATAGGCGGCTATTTGTCTACTTCATTGCAACATATTGTGGTCTGTTTCTTGTCAGTAGAATAACAAAAATAAATGTTATTTTATATATACCTTGAAACAACACCATTAACACTTGTCTTGCGTGCACTTGATAAGTGATTAATGGTTGTTTAAAAACCCACGTATTTGTAAATCTTGTTACATGAAAACAGAGATGTTCATTAATACGTACCTATGCTTACTTTACTAATGCCTGTTTCCGCTTCACCGTCTATTTATTTACTGGTTTTATGAACTTTCGCTATATGCATTAATTTATATTACTTATTTATTTAATGTTTTTTTTTTTATACTTATCATAAAAAAATATGTAAGGTATTTTTATAGACTAGACAATGAAATGAGGTATAATGTTATATCCATGAGCTTTCCATGCTACTAAAATATTCTCCATTCGAACACTGATTAGGGGCGTTTCCATTGATGGCTACCATGAAGGTCTTGACTGAAATTTGTTTAACGACCCCCTATTGATGACGTAATCTACGTAGCCGGAACTAAACTATATTCTCATTTGTTGATTAGATTTATCCAGTAATGTGATGATCATAACCTACAAAATTGACTACACATCATCTAATATTGATATCATCACTGGTTCAATCTGCGTCAGACTTCGCAGACCTAGATGTGATTGAAAAATGTTAAAAACCTAGAATATATTTTCTTTACATAAAATACTTTAATTAAAAATCCTTCCAACCTTTATAAAACATATTTGGGCTGGACGTTATATCACCTACAGGTCCCTAATATAATTTAATAATGAAATAAGACCTCTGGCGTAAAGCCTCTAATTTATGTAAAGGAGCAACCGAGCGAGGGACATCGTAAATAAATCATTCGAATTATTTGCCCATACCTGCACCCGTGGGTTAATTCGGAAAGCCACGCTCCAGTGTACTGATAAAACTCCACTTTAATTGTTGGAAATATATTAAATAGACAACATTGTTCCAACAAAAACTACAGCAATGTGCCAAATAATTTTCTTACTACTGTTTTATTTCTCATATATTTATTTTTCAAAAAAATGATTTACCATGTTTAATAACAGTCTCGCATTTCACTTTGCAAACGTCTGGGCTTCATTCCCATTCAGTTATTCCTCGATTTTCAAACAACACTTATTTTTCTTGTCACGTTTTAAAAGGAAAACAAGGAAAACTGAATGGTTCGCAAAACGTACGTCCGAACTGCTGGATTTATTTCGGAGTCACGTTAACTAATAGTAGAAAATTACTCGGATTTGTAGCTATTTAATGAGAATATAGACTTTTTTCTGGAGAGTTCGGTAGAAACTTTGATAATACTCGTTAAAACATATTCCTTATGCGGAAAAAGATTAGATTCACCAAATGTTTCTCATAGAAACAATTTTTATCTAAATATTCTATGCCCAGTGGCGTACGGTCCACGTTTTACGAAAAAAACCGCTGATCAAATAGTAACAAGAAAATTGCTACATGGAATACCGAAACACTTCTAAAGGCAGCCATACCAATAGTCCGAACGGGAAACTAAAATCCTTTTACTTTGATCCCTGTTCCGGAACCTGTCCCCGGGGTGAATTCAAGTATCATTACGGGCCGCTACTCGCTACTCGCTACAGCGTATTGCTTCACATACCTGTCACCGCGGTCTGTATAATGAAGTATTATTTTCATAGCAGCATGTCATCAGCCGGTAAAGTGTATTATTAACTGATACTTTTACTGTAATTACGTCTATTATACGGCATAACCGTTGAAACATTATTTTCTTGTATAAAATTCATGACGATACGCCTAGTCGTAGCACGCGTAACTACCAATTATTGTCTATTTTAAATCAATCACTAGACCCTTCGTGTTCTTCAATGTTATCTCTTGTTCGTACAATAAGGTTATTTCAGTGTTAACTACAGGCAGACATGTTACCAACACGTTATTCGTAAAATTGCTTTAAGTATTCAAGTGATAAGTATTAAATCTCGCCGAAAAAGTAAGCAGATACCAGATTTAAACTTAATACAATTAAGTTATTAGTCGCATTAACACCCACGAAGATTAACTAGGTATTAAATATCCGTTTTGTCAACTACTACGTAATTATTGAGAAATTAACATAGTTACAAGAAATACAATGTAATGTTAGTCACCTCGTAGCATGACGTAGACGTTTCGCCGCCGCCCAAATTATACGATAAACACTGTTTTTCTGACACGTATCATGATATTTAATGTCACACTATCAATTTACAATATTTTTTGGCGAGCCAATTATTTGTTAGAGGAGCCGAAGGTTACACGTGACGTTTATTCAACAAGATTTGTATTGTAGGAACACGCGTCCGGTGGCGGTGGTCGACGATTGCATACACGTGCAGTTGTCGGCGCGGCGTGTCATGTGCAGCGTGGTGTGCGCGGGGCGAGCGGTGAGAGCGAGCGGCGTCGGTGTCGGGCGTGCGCGCTCGGCCTCTCCGCGGACTCGACTGTAGGGCTTCTGTCCCGCTAGGGCGGCGCGCCCACGCTCGATACCGCCGCCTTCCCAGCGCCCTCCCACATTGCAAAATCGTTTATAAAAATTTAACAGATTATTGCAAAAACACAGATATTTTCCAATACGTTTCCAGCCACGTCCTAGTACTCGACAAACACTTGAGTAACGACGAGTTTATTCTCCTTTCATCTTTTTGTGGAAATAATAAAGTGTACCCTGAGTGAGTGCTATCATAACGTGGCAAGCGAGAGGCGTGGCTGTCTAACTAAATGAACGCTTTGACATCACTCCGTCACGGGTTTATTCATATTTCATTTGCCCATAATTTCTTAATCGATTCAAACGCTTGTTTAACTTCCTAATTACATCACCAAAATTAATTGGATGTTTTTTTTTAAATATCTTATAGAGACGTGTATGTGATGTGAATGGGATACTAAAACACTGATTTAACTAAATAGACTGATGTTAACTTTATGATTTTTAAAAATAAGAGAAACGGTCTATTTTGTGTAGTCTCTCACAATTCTGGTCTACTAATCACAATATATACATTTGTAGTGTAAATGTCGTTGTAAACTGATGCCGGTGTCTCGGATCACGTGTTGTAGGACTGGAGTATGTCTTTAGCTTACGTTAAGGTACCCACACCTCCCTTCCTGCACCTTTAACTGAAAAAAATGTGTCGTAATATTTATGTATATGTGTTGAGAGCGCCTTAACCCCCTAGCTCAATGTCCAGGGTTCAATGCTGGCGGCATTACTATCCAATTCAAAATCTACACCTGTATTTGTATAGCAAACCTTATCGAGTATAGAATAACATTAAAAATTCAATGGATAGTTGCGTTGTTTCATTTTGTTAAAGGCGACTGGCAGGAGTTTCTGGTAATCAGAAGCAGTTTTTATGATTCGTCAGCAAGTGGGCTCAGATTATTTATCTAATTATATACGTTCTTCACTCGTGGTTACTTGAGCATTTAGTTACTTTTTGACGCAGCCTAAAATTTACACCCTTTGTAAAAGTAGGTATTATTTATAGTAGGTATAGGTACCGAGACTTTCTTTATGTTTTGAAACAAAGCCTATTAGCATAGGACGCCAATGAATCACTCTAGCCAGTATTTATATCGCGTAAACTACAAACGAATATTTCATTAAATCAATGTTCAGGACAGTCAACCCTAATATAATTAAACCCTTAACTTGAACACATTAATCAATGTATGGACACTGACGTCACTAAACTCATCAATTTATTGCTTTCATCCATGAGTAATTTGAAACTCGTACAATGTGGGCAGTCCACGGTGTGTTTATCAATATAACTGGGATTTACATGACGTGAACACTCCAAAAAAAAGGTATCGATAAAACGAATGTATTTTCAAATGTATTTCTAGAACCTCAAATAAAACTTTTCTAAATCTTTCAATCAAAATGTAAGCTATCTACACATAAATCTGAATAATCAACCAGTTCTGGCATTCATCCACCTGAACCGCCATAAAAATATTCAAAACCATTTGCTTCACAGTTCACACGAAACAATGTCAGTCAAGAAAATATATGCGACACGGAAAGCTGGAAATTCCGCAGCAACAAATATAATTGAATAAGTTCAAACGTAAAAACATTAGCGAAGCATAAATCTGTGCGCAAAAACAAATGGATAACATAATGCAGTGGTGTACTGCGGGCAGCGGCAGCATGGTGGTCGCTGATAGCATCAATGCGGTCAACGGCATGCGCCCGGGGCTTGCTAGCCCACTGACCGGACAGCCGGCCGCCGCCGCCGCCGCACCTGCTGCCCGCCGACATGCACTGCTTTAGTGACGAACTCGTACCCGTCACTCGGCACAACAAACGTTTTAAAACAAATAACCGGCTTGTTAATCCTTACTGAACCAAAGGCTACATGCCTTTACTTGTTCAAAATATAAGTAACCTCGAGAACATCACCCATATATCCATATCCCATATTCTCATTCTCATTGTTGTCTGCTATTTAAATTCGAGTAACCTCGACATTTATTTGTTGACATTTAAATGCAGTTGACGAACGGCGCCACATCACTACTGTGTTACAACTACCCACGCTACTCGCCATGCCGGCCCGTCATGAACTGCCCTGCAATTAAAATTCACATGCAATAAAGCACTTCCTTTTGGTCACAGTGCTATGTAACACATTATACTAAAATATACAGTGCAATGGAAAAATGTAAGTAGGCTACGTCCAGCGCATGGACATTTTGGAATATTTTCTTGAAACCTGTGGGACATGCCTGCATGCAACCACTTTACATATGACTTGGACTTCAACGACCGCGATGCAAATTTTTCGTGACGTCTGTCTCCTGTGTTATTTTAGTTGCGTCAGATTGTTTTTTTATGTTATGGAGTTTTATTTTAATAAAAAATAACAAGAGATCGCTTTGGCGGCAAAATCATTTCTTTTTTGGCTTTAACTTAGTTCTAAGAGAAACGCAATCGGTTATTGTATGATTAGTAGCAGTAGGTGCACCATTCTTTAAGACTCTTACCTTGCCCAATTCATACACTCACACTTCATGCAGACAGCAATATTTCTTTAAAAAAAATCGAAAATAATTAAAAGATAGATTATAATTTTATATGGAGGTATAGTAAATATCAGCCATAGTTCCACCTATATAGTAGGCATATTTATGATAATAGATTCTTGGTAAATGACGGTAACTATTATTTCAGTTGGATGGCAGTACACACGCATGTGTCACGGAGCAGAGCGGCGGTGGCGTGGCCCGCAACATGGCAGAAGCTCTGTGGAGACTGCGCGGCGGCAGAACCAAACTCCTCACTGCCGTGGGAGATGATGCGGATGGAGAATACTTAACTAATATCGCTCCAGGATTGCTACTAAATGGTCCTGATATTATTTACTAAGAGCTTATGGGAAAACGGATTTTTTACGGATCCACAATGTAATGTATTAACACAAGGAACAAGGATTCAATGGTTTAATCAAACAAATTGAAAAAAATAACTCGTAGTCAATTTCGTAGCCCACGTAGCCGTAGCTCGTAGCACCGTAGATAATAGATTGTCCAAAGAAATATAGTATTGATGTCAATAAATTACAGTAGTTATATCATCAGTACTATACTTCCAATATTCTGTACAAACAAGTATGTACATTTCCAAGAAGACACTTTTCTTCAAATATTTGAGATAGTGATGTAGATAAGTCCCTAATGTGTTCCTTATCGTTCGCAGATTGTATCGTAAAAAATGGCAGTACCCCTTCGTACGCTGCCGTAATGGACTCTCGAGGTGAATGCCTGATCGGGTTGGGTGACATGGCTTTACACAATAATATATCAATCGACCTGGTACGTACAAATACTTTAATGCGTAGATATTTAGATATGTCTATGTATAAGTTGTAAAGCTAAAAATGGTTGTTAAGAACATAATTAATTTATTTAACAGTCTTAGTCTAGATTACTTCTCAAAAGTCACTGTTTTCAATTACTGCATAATTGTAAATCTTAGAGTGAGCTAGTGCTGCATGTCGCGGTGTAGTGCTGTGCTACGCTAAGCTACGCCACCATGCTACGCTACGCTACGCCACCATACTACGTCGCGCGTCGCGTAGCAATACGACTACGTGTCGGTAATTGCATGCATATCATAACTCAAATGTTTTTTATTTAGATTATTAGATTATTAAGCACGATCAAAGAATTAAATGTAAATATGGAGAGTGCTATCCACATTCATAATAAAGTGCTTTCTGAAAAGCAATCAATGTGAAACATGTCATCATCATAATTGAAATTGATAGTTTCCTTTAATTTTGTTGTGTTTATAAGTATATAATTAAATACAAAAGTGTATAATTAAAAAAATCTTGTAGGGAATAGAAATATTGAACAGTCATGTAAATAGATTCCAGACTACTTGAACTGACGCGAATATAAAGTAAGTATTTCCACGTTTTCCGCCCCGTGCCGTGGGCCGAGTAGGTATAATAATATGTCGGCATAGTGAAGGCGTTTCTACGCAATGAAATATTTGCTTAGAGGCTTTCCCTTTACGACAAAATTATGTGTCTTCGTACCCTCCGAATATTATTTTATGATGGAACGTTAACGTAAAACTGGGGCCATGAATGATAGCGGTTCTGATGGTGACATTGCTGCCTCATGAAATATTGAAAATTGTTGTCACTGCAGGGACGTACCTATAGATCCCATAGTACCTGATAACAGTAACTATTGAGATGAATAACAGACACTTTAACTTGTTTGTTAGGTTACGTAGCTTAGATATGTATGCGTAATGTGTGGCATCGAACAAAAGCTTCAATTGACCTACTTTGATGGAATAATGAATGACGCTTGACTTCGCTAGTTGTTACGTCATTGTTATGTTGTCGACAGGTAAATAAGCATATCGATGTCCTGCATGATGCCCCTCTGGTGGTTCTCGACGGCAATGTGCCTCAGGCTACTATTGACCACGTACTCGACGTGTGCCAACGTCTACAGAAACCTGGTAAGTTAATCAATGAATCTTAACAATAAATCATTACTTGAGATATAAATCTAAATGTCAACTAAACATTAGTTAAAAAGAATATAAGACTAAATCGTGACGGCTGTCACCTATAGGTATTATAGAAATACCTGTCTAATGACTATTTTATCTATAACTAGCTACTTCCGCGGGGTTTCACACGCTCTGCTCAGCTCCTATTGGTCGTACCGTGATGTTTTATAGCCTATAGCCATCCTCAATATATGCGCTATACAACACAAAAAGAATTATTCAAATCAGACTTGTAGTTACGGAGATTAGCGCGTTCAAACAAAAAAACAACTTCCGCTTTATATAATAGTATCAATACATAGTATAAAACAAAGTCGCTTGCGCTGTATGTCCGTATGTATGCTTAGATCTTTAAAACTACGCAACGGATTTTGATGCGGTTTTTTTTAATAGATAGAGTGATTCTTAAGGAAGGTTTATATCATGCATATTGCACCCGTGCGAAGCCGGGGCGGGTCGCTAGTAAGATATAAAAATGAATCGCTAAATGTGTTGCTAAGCGCAAATCTCGTACGGCTGTACTCATTTTACTAGTTTTAGGAATAAAAATCTATAAAAATTAAAGAAAAAAATAATTGCATAGATTAAAAAGGAAGATTGAAGTAAATGCATTTGTTCACTAAAATATTATTTATTTAAAATTATCAGTACATACAATCAGTGCTCATCCTTGGAATGGCATACAAATGATATTATTTTTCGGACGGATTTGTTTTAACTAACAATAATACACGAAGGCACTGTTTACAGATTAATTTTCTTCAAGGCACTCATTTGACTTCATTAGTTACAAGTTAGTGTTTGTTTAATCAAAACTTTATTATAATTAGATTAAAATACATTTTGATAAAACAGATACTGTCATAAACGTAAAAAACCAATCCTAGAATAATAAAAATAATACGTAAACTAATAAACAGAAAAAAATTAAGACAATGTCATTCTTGTACATACAATACTTAATATTAAGTAAGACTTAAAAATAATAATAACTGTTAGTCAACAGAATGAAAAAATATTCAGTCACAAATTAAAACTGTAAAATAAGCGAATTATGATTAATAACTTAGTGTATAAAATATCAAATCAAAATTACTCACTAATTTAATTCATACCTTAAAAATTGCTTGAGAATATTTATGGAGGGCAAAATACATAATGTAAGTACATAAAGTGAAATAAAACCAATTAGCCTAATTACGTTAGAACACAAATCCTGTAAAATATGTAAGACCTAACGTCAAAACAAAATTGTCTTTTCTTGAGATTCTATGAGTTTCGTGAATTTTTAGTGCTTAGATCTAATAAAATACATTTTTACACAAGATTACTATTACTCCCTCATTAGTAATCCAGAGTAAAATCGTAAATAGATTACTCATAATGCAGATTACAAATAACAAGATTTAGTAATCTTATGTAATCTTTTATTCTAGCTCTTATTACAAGCTTTATTTTTATTGGCAGCTGTGTAATTGTTTCCCGCCCCAGACAAGCTGAGTGAGGCCCGGCCGCACTACAGTTAAATCGGAGCGATTTTCAGCCGCGCGAATTTACAAATAAGAAAACAGACACACGAGCGGTTTTTCCAGCGACTGGTTTATAATCCATGAAATATTGCAAAAGTGCGGCAGCCACATATACATAATAGATTTGTTGGATTAATACCGTAGTAGTTACGGTACGTGTATCCCTGCGGTTTCCTGGTCAGTGCCGTTAACCACGACTTCCACGAATGGAATAAACCTTGGTTTATTCACCTTCGTGGAAGTCTCGCACACCTCAGGCTGCACCTTGGTGCAGCCTGAGGTGTGCGAGCCTAAGATACAGTATAATTTATCCGAATAATAATTATCTAAGGAGTCATAAAAATATGTTCTACTTTGTGTTCAATATAGAGCTTTGTGTTTAAAGTACATTGAAGAAGTATGAAATCAGATGTTATTTTACATGTAACCCATTTGACGTTGTTGCTGCAACTGGTCGCGCAACTGATGCAGAGCATGTTCAGGCTGACTATGTTGCATCTGAGCCACCAAATTCTTTGCTTCCAAACGCAGTTCATAAAGCTTTCGGGATTCCAAGTACAGGAGTATCGCTGCAGCTCCTGTAATCAAATGATATTATGACCTTTATGTTTTCATGTTGTGATTACATAACACAATCAAGAAAATAGTATGAGTACTCGTTAGTCAAGTTTGTGACAAGCAGGTAATACAAAATCTATAATTATATATTATTTACTTATTCCATTAAATTTAGAAAATATTTTTTAGAAAGAAATTAACTTATATTCTGCTTATTTTTCATTACATGCAAAAGTTATATAGTTATAGAATAAAATAACTATAAGGACACATCCTTAATAAAACAGAAGTAAGAATATTTCCTCACCAAACAAAATGAAGGCAACCACAGCAAAAGCATATGACCATGACAGAACATTGAATGAAGGATACAGCAGCCAGTCACGACGGTAGCAGTTCCCACCAAATATGGCGACTGCCAGGAATAGGAACACACCTGCAACGAAGTTTATATAATTACACATTAGTAAATACTTACTGCCTAGTTGGCCGAGTGGTTCATGTGTGTGTTTTTAAACATCTCAGTACTAGCACGGAGACCTTGATTGCGATATATGGTAATAGGCTAACCCCCTATTACCTGGGCGTCATAACATAAGTAGTGAAAAGTATGCGTTGTATTGTATAGTGACATCAGGTGCCGTAATATGCACCTCTGCCTACCCCTTCGGAGATAAAAAGGTGTGATAATGATGTTATACATTAGTAAATTTCATTTTAAAACTACAATCAAATCCATTTTAACAAAGGCAATGTAAAAAGACAATAATGAGTATTCAAAATGTACATTGTACAGTAATAGGAGGTCCCAATTTTTGTGCTAAGTTAACAAAAATGTTGCAAGTCTAAGTTCACCTGTTTCACCACCTCCATAAGTACTCTATAAACTTATATGACCCATAGTTCATACAAATTACATTCTTAATAGATTTTTTCTGATATAGCAGCTATCCAGACATTGTGAGACATGCCCTATATACTTACATTTATAAAATATTATTATTGACTTTCCAGTTAATACTAAAATGAAATTAAACGATGACTTACTTGCAATAGCTACCATGATGAAAGCAGAAGTGACAAAGATCCATTCATAACGCAGCACAGTGCGGAGTGGCCATCTCACTATTACACAAGCTAGCAACACTTGAGATGAGAATGACAATATCAAAGCCATGGTCACAAATGACTGCACTGCCATCAACCATCCAGGAAGCAACCATTCTCGAATCACATAAAATTCCTAGAACATGTTCATTTTGTGTTAGTAACAATGATCAATAGAAAATTGTACTAACAATACTGTGGTCTGTGGTTTAATTGATATAAATCTATAAATATTACATTTATTTCCTTATCATATTTTAAAACAGCACTATATATATTGTAAAATTATCCTATTTATAGTTTCAACTATAGTCAGTTACCTCACTAAAGATGTAGTGGCACCCATGAAACAGTTTGTCAAACTGGTATGAAGGGAATCGAAAACGGTCGAAACAGTACTCCCATAGACCCATGTGTTTGAAACTCGAAAACATTTCTGGATACGACTCGATCCAATAGGGACCGGCAAACGATAGGAGAAGAAATAGGCCAGCGATGTACGTTAGGCTGGCTCCGATGAGAGTCGCATCTGTAAATAAGTTACGATTTATATACTTATTCATAAATACCTTTTTATACACAATGTACATTATAAAACTTATTCATAGCAAAACTGTTAAATCCAACAAGATTCCAAATTGTATGGGCGTGCCCGATGTAAATATTACTTACTTGAAGCCTTAGGATACTCATTGTCCGCGGCCGTCATAGTGTCGATTATGTTTTATCAGTTTTAGTAGTATATTTTTAAAATAACTATTTGGTATCACAATAACGATTAAATATTAAAAGGAAAACAAGCGTTTTCAACTGCTAACAAAATCAACAAAATGTGACACTAATGACATTAGAGACGTTTACTGACGTTTACGTTGACAATCTTTGTACAAAATGACGTTAAAGTTTTCGTCTCAAAATGGGGTACTGCTACGTTGCTACGTTGTTGGTCGTTTACATTAAAATACAAGTTCCTTTAATTAGAACAAGGATCCTTAGAATTAGTATAGAAATGTTTTTTTTTTCGTATTTTCATATTTTTTGCACTAACTCAACATTTTTTCTATGAATTAAATAGAAAACGAGCCTTATATGGGATTCCACCTGATGTATCATGTCGGTCAATATTCAAAAAGCTTGGTTTGCTACCCCTACCCTCATTGTACTTATATGAAGTGTGTATATTCGTACGTAAACATAAAGAACTGTTCAAAACGGCAGAAGATGTATGTTCTAGAAATCGACGCGACCATCACAGACTAGTACTAGAGGAGTTTCCTAAGTTAACAAAATATAATAAAAGCTGCCTAAGTACCTATGTGTGTCCGAATATTTAATAAATTGCCGATAACATTAAAAACACTTAACCTCAGACTATTTAAAATTAAATTATATGTATGGTTGAATGAAAATAATTTTTATAGCATTAAGGAATTTTTTGAACATAAATAATAATGTATAACTTATAACTACGAGTGTAAGTTAGTTAAAATAAGTTTTAAGTTAAAATTTTCATGCTTTATTTATTAAGCAAAACATGATGATCTATTATATTGTAACTATAACATCTTTGTATACCATGTTTTTACGCAAATAAATGTCTTTGTCTTTACCTTTATCTTTAAAATATAAAATGTACTGAGCAAACATTTAATAATTGTTATAGGTAATTTCGCGAAAGATATTCACCTATTAATACAAAAAATAGCTGGAGTTGTAGAAACAGAAAAAAATAATAATAAAATAAAAACTTTATTGTGATAAGGCAGTTAATTGTTTCATACATATAAAAATGAATAATCTAATTATAATCTTATTTACTACTTAAAATAAAAACACAAAAAATGGACGGTATTTAAAAAGGTACATCGTTGATAAATCATGTCTTTTATAATAATATCAAGTACTTAAAAATGCAGCTCCATTGTAAATATCTCTGGAATTCACTTAACAAATACATATTAAAGGCACATTATTAAAAGTCATTACTACACACCATTTACACTATAACAATGATATACTTGTTTTTTAAAGTGCTCTAAAAGTTTATGTGCATAAGTTACCCTTAGAATAAGCAATAAATCTACAGTTTTCATCTTTACACATAGTTCTACAATATTCAATAACATACGTAATGTTAAAAGAAAATATTTTCGGCAACGTAAAATAGTGGAGGTAGTCCATTAAATATAACAAACCTGGCACTCATTCAAACATCCAGACCATGTATTAAAAGTCTTGTCCACATATTTGGTTAACTTACAAAAAACAAAACTGAACTAGAAAAAATACGTAAACTAACATAGATACATACTATACTATGTTTATGTATTTCTAAAGCAAAATACTGGTAATATTAATAAAAAAATACATATCGTATTGGATTTTGCGCAGACCATTTTGGACGGATGGTTCTTCAGATCTAAACATAATTCGAGACATGAACATTGCCTAATGTGTTCTGTAGCTCAGCTGTTAATGTCAGAAACAGCTAAACCAGGGCCGGCAAACTCAGAAGTCATAAAGACAAAATTAGGTCTCGAAATCGTTGATATCATTAATGAATTTTCAACCGTATACATTTGTATTAAAGTTGTGAATTTTTGTGATATAGCGATCAATTTTTGTTGTAATCGTAATCGAGGCTTCAAACCCTGGTGTTATACATTAAACAATGTTCATATACCTATTTACTTAACATTAAAGTAAAACTATGTGATTTTTGTTTAATGTTATGCTTTCGTTTCGTACTCCAACTCAAATCGAGCTTGAGATTCTTTCATCTTGTTACGTTTCTTTGCTTGGATGTTTGACTCGGTCAGGAAGAGAGCAGAGGTAACTAAACACGCCACGGAACCGACGACACCCAAACCAAAGGACCAGCCTATAAAAAAACAAAAATTGATCATTATTATTTTTGGACCATTATAGTATAGATACTATAGATGACTGCCTCGTAGGCCGAGTGCTCGCAAGTGCGACTGCCGGACAAGGGGTCTCGGGTTCGATTCGGCAAAGTATTAAAAAAACCTCAGTCCGCTCCGCACGGAGTCTGGAAATGTGCCCGGTGTATGTCAATAGGCTCACCCCCCATTACATGGGACTCGTAACATAAATAGTGAAAAGTGGGCGCTACATTGTACAGTGGCATTAAACTGTCAAACACCAAGCGATCACCGGTGACCGCAACCTATTGTTCTATAATTGTGTCTACAAAACCGGTACTCGACGAGTTAAGTGCCGTAAAGTGTACATCTGAATGGATAAGGCGTGATGTTATGTATGTACTATAGATGTAGGAATAAATCCATGGATATGAGTATGAGTTAAAGAGTTTGCAAAGGTAAAGATATATATTATATTTCGCAAATATGGGTAAATGTCATGGTGGTGACAAAGAGGCACGAATGCTAGGTGCCAAGTACGAAAGCCATTTTTTTTTTAAACGTTGCCCCACACTAGGATTTTCTCCTGTGTCGTGGGTGCGTTTACAAACATTCAATATCGCACACACATGACACCCAGACCCAGAACAACAATCTGTGGATCACACAAAGAGTTGTTCCGTGCGGGAATCGAACCCGCGACACGTTGCGCGGCGCCCAGCCACCGCGCCAACCGTGCAGTCTATATTTTGACTTCAAAATTGTATGTTGTATGGTTGCTTACCTAAATAATTGTTGGGGTGATCTGGCATCCACCCATCTGTGTTTCCTAATGATGCAAACACTATAACTGCAATGACTCCACATATACCTAAAATCAAATAGTTTTTTGTATAATAACTAGCTTCTGCCAGCGACTTCGCACGAGCAATCTCGAAAAAAATTTAGGGATGGACTACCCCTAACATTTGTCGCGGAGAACCTAACGGGTAACCGGGGCTCCGGCTCGACGTGCAGGAGAAGGAACGGGGTGGTTTTTAGTCAGTAAGAGTCTGACACTCCCTCCCGCCTCACCCAGGCGGGAGCAGTCATTCGATGATTTTCCCCCCAAAAAAAAAAAAAAAAAAACCCCTAACATTTAGGGGGATGAAAAATGGATGTTGGCCGATTCTCATAGATACCGGATAAGCACAAAAAAATCATCAAAATCGGTCAAGCCGTTTCGGAGGAGTATGGCACCGAAAACTGTGACACGAGAATTTTATATATTAGATATCGCGGTTATAACGTGCTTATGATTATGGGAACCTAGTCGAATAGGTACGTGAGCAGGCCGTATATAAAAAAAATTACCGGCCCGGCCTTTGTGTGGGAAGTCGGTTAAAAATAAGTTGTTTATATTTAGTGGTAATAAATATTTCGCAATATTAGGCACAGTTTATCTCACCTGCAGCTAACATAATATATCCAATACTCTTGATCAAAGTCACAAATCTGTTTTGGTCAGGTCCGCAACATAAGAAGAACATCAACACCAGTATTGTGGATATCAAAACTCCCAGCAGACACAATGTGAAGAAAAACTGTGTCGCTATCATGAAACCTGCAAAAAATATATTATTAAGAATATGGTTTGCTGAACAAACGTCTATTAAATATTGACAAAAAACATTACTTTTTTTGGTTCATGAGGTTACAGAAATAATAACATTGCTTTTTGCTAATTGTAACTAGTTTTTTAACATCGTTACGGAACATCGCGCGTATAAATTAATAATGTAAAGAAATATGACTGACCTGGGAGTAAATATCCACGAATCTTGTCATATCCCGTGGTGAAAGGATCGTACACCCAACGACATCCAACGAAGAATCGTCTTTGGTATTGGTCGAGAGGATCTGGCAGCGATCTGAAGCAGTGACTCCATAATCCTAATCTAAAAGACAAAAAAAACTACATTGTTAATATTATTCATAGAAAATATATTCGTGGCGTTCGCTAGTCCCTCCCCTCCTACAACTATAGTTTTAAACAATTCAAGTTTTCAAAAATCTAATCTTACAAAAAAAAACTGCAAATTCATTTATGTTTCCGTATTAATATGTGTCCATGTCTAACCTATCTAATTTGGCGCCTCTTATTCTGGAGTCGCTGACCAACCAGCTGGGCGTACCGAATGCCAATGCCACAGTAACAAGGGCAATGACAAACACGCCAATGCCACAATTACCGGCCATACTTCTATTCTTCATTGTCTCTGTAACAAAATAATGAAAGGTTACAATACATTAATGAATCTCAGATTAAGAATTCCGTGAGTAACAAACAAAAATCTTGTAAGTTGCAAAAAATTTTCAAAAATAAATAGATACGATTACAATAACATTACATCGATAAATTTGGTACTTTTGAAAACTGACTTATTTTCCAATCGTATATACATATATACACATATGTAGTAGGTAAGTACAAAATTATTACGTATTCAGTACCCAACAGAAACTTATGCTACGGTGCAAAGTTTAGATCTAATAGGCATAAATATTATCATATCATATTATTATGATAATATCAATTGTCATAGGGTTTCGATCAGATCTATCAAGTGTGATAAAAGTTCAGTAGATTGTTTCAAATGTTCAATCAACTGCACTCTAGTTGTATAGTTACTGCACAATGCACAAATCGAGCGATGTTTTTGACACTGCACCAATTAAGGTCGATGAATAAAATAGGTTAATAGACTTATTATTGCTGAGAATTTTCTTGTATTACATGCAGACACGACGCGATGTCGATGTGTCATCATTGTAATGCCATTTTTTCAACAGTTAATTTTACACAGGTGAATGGACTGTGATTTACTAAAATTACTCTCAACACTATTTAACAGACTCAGTTAAATAGCAGTACAAGATCAAGATTAAGAAATGAAGTAACTAGCTAAATATTTAAAATAAATGGAACCGCCACACAAGTAACTAGCTTGTATAGTAAGTGTCTATTTCTGAGTATTTCTGTACAAAAAATGCACCTTACTATTGTTTTTTAACTTAGGGGTGAAAATCAAATCATACAATAACTTCTCCCGCCCAGGTAAGGTGAGAGGAAGTGTCAGACTTACTGACTGAAAACCACCCCGTTCCTACTCCTGCACTTCGAGTCAGAGCCCCGGCAACCCGTTAAGTCTTAAGATACACTATACTTAGCTCCATAAAATGTGCTCACAGAAGCTATATTCGTAGAGCAAGTATACAAGTACGTAGGTAAGTCGGTAGATACCGTCATTAGCGCAATTAAATCTTCTAAACTATACCCATAAAATAATATTGAGAACACGGTTATGAATGAAGTGCTTTACTTCGGCAGACTCAATGTTAATTAACTAAAAATCGCGGGTTCATCACGTGAATATAATGAGAAAAGCTCTACTAGTTTTCAACCACAGAGGAGTTACTCCCACCTATTATGCATGTCATTATTACTTTGATTGTTGACACGCTCGTGCTCGGATAATTCAAAGTTCAAATTCTGCCCAGTTACCTCAGTAGATGTGGAGCGATCATTTTCGACCTATAAAAATATTTTGAATGATCGAAGACATAATCTTACCACTGAACATTTGGAACAATACTTGATTGTTAATGTTTACAAAAATATTAAATAATGTCTACTGTATCGATTAACATCTATCAATGGATAGTTTTCTATAAATGTATGCTGATTTTTTAATAAAAAATATAAAACTTAATAGTTTTTTATTTTATCAAATAACAATAAATTAAAAAGATACATACATAATAAAGTAAAACATAAATAAGACAAGTATTTACTAACAAAATACTTAAATCTAAAGGAATAATATTTACAAAACAAAAA